ACCTGCGACCTCTTCTACAACGCGACGAACGTTACGAACGCGACGATGCTGCGAATCGAGGCGAGCTCGCCCCTTATTGAGGTCGCCGTCGCGGAGCTGCAGCGAATCGGGCCGACCCTCGTCGCGTCGGGCGCGGACCTCCACGACGTCGTCTGCTCACTGAAGGAGTGCGACCTGGCGAAGGCCTACGTCATCGACAAGTACGACAGCATCAACGTCGTCGCCGCCGCGGGCTTCGTCAAGGACTTTGCGGCGAACTCGGCGGACAACTCCGGCGTCGTCGCGCTGACGGACCCGGAGTGCGCGTGCGCGTCGGGCACCTACATCACCGCGCCGTGCACGTCCCGGGCCGACGCGGTCTGCGCGACGTGCTCGACGGCGTGCCAGGCCGACTACTACATCGTCTCCGAGTGCGGCGAGTACGTGGACGTCGGCTGCGAGCCCTGCGTCAGCTGCGGGTATCCCTACTACGACGCGGGCGGCTGCTCCGGGTCCAGCGACCGCGTCTGCTCGCCCTGCACGGAGTGCACGGCCATGGAGTACGAGTCGAGCCCCTGCGAGGCCGGCGCGGACCGCGTCTGCGTGAGCTGCGCGCGGTCGTCGGAGTGCGTCGAGCAGACGGAGCAGTGCGCGAACGTCGCGCAGTGGTGGCGCCAGGCCAACTGCTGCGGGGACGACGACGGCGTCCAGGTCCCCTGCAACGAGCAGACGGAGAGCGACGTCCGCATCGGCAAGCGCAACTCGCGCCAGCACTGGGTCTTCGACGTGCTCCCGGAGGTCGAGGAGGGCTACGAGCAGGGCGACGCGACGACGCTCCAAGGGTAGGTTCGGTGTGAGTCGAGGCCCGGGGGGGGGGGCACTATAGGCTGGTCTTCAAGTGGCCATCAATGCGGCGCGCGGCTCGCCGTGCACATCCCCGGCCCGGCGACAGCGGCGCGTACCCGTAGAGGCGCTGCGGAAGGCCGCAGTCTAGGAGCGGCGGCGCTGGGACGTGCGCTCTGGCTTGGACTCGACCATCGCCGGCTTCTTCGCCGCGGACTTCGCCGCGGAGGCCCTGAACGCGGTAGACGACGGGGATGGGGCGCTACGCCCCGGGAGCCAGCCATCAGGAGCCTGAGGGACATACTTCGCGCCCTCACCCGACGCGTCGGCGCGGAAGGGGCAGCTTGTCCGCGACCAGACGCCCGGAGCCCATACGCTCACCTTCAACCGGTCTCCGTCCGCGATTGACGCCAAAAATCTGAGCCATCAACGACGTCGCCCACGCCCACGCTCACGCTCGCTCATCATCCCCTTCCTCATAGTGCCGCCCCGCGTCCCACATCGTGTACGACCCTAAAAAAATCGACCGCTCGCCACGCTTTCCGGGCAAACGGCCGCGGCGGCCGGGCGACGACCGAATCAACGGCGCCGCCGTCGCGGCGCGCCGAGTGAACCGGGGCGGCGCGCCGTACGGCCTTCGCGCGGCCTTGGCGACCTTGGCGACGTGGCCGCATCCCGCGGCCCCTCCGCGGTTCGTCGATCGTAGATGATCGGGCGACCGCCTCGGATCGGCCGATTTCGCCCGAACCCGCTTCCCCGCTGAGCCCTCGTCCGCCGACCACCACGTTGCCCGCCCCGCCCTCGCCCGCCCCCGCATCGTCCGCTCCGCGGATCGCCGACGCCCTCGGGCCCTCGCGAAGGCGTCGGTCGCCGACGAGGAACCTCCTTCGTCGCGCCGGCGAGCCCCGCGCGCCCCCGAAACCTCCCGAGCCGTGCCCCGCTCCTCGCGCTACGCAACCGAGACCATTACCCTCGCGCCCCCCCCTCAGGCTTTCGCGCCGTACCAGCTACACGTTCACGCGAAGATGAAGCGGAACGCGCTCCTGCTCCTCGCGCTCGCCGTCGTCGCAAAGGCCGGCTCCGAGAGCGGCGCCGTCAGCGCCGGCGGCGGCTCCTTCGACTCCGCGTGCACGGACTCGACGACGTGGCACAAGAAAGGCGACGACAAGAAGAACTGCGCCTGGGTCGGCAAGAAGAAGGTGAATCGCTGCAAGGCCTGGGTCAAGTCCGAGGACGGCGTCCTGGCCAGCGTCGCCTGCCCCGTGGCCTGCGACACCTGCCTGCTGATCTGCGAGGAGGCGAAGCAGGACCTGGAGGAGACTCTCGCGGAGGAGAAGCAGACCTGCGCGGAGGAGAAGCAGACCTGCGCGGAGGAGAAGCAGACCTGCGCGGAGGAGAAGGCCGCGCTCGAGGGGCCGTCGTGCGCGGACTCGACGACGTGGCACCAGGGCTGGAAGAAGTCGAAGACCTGCGCGTGGGTCGGCAAGTCGCCCGCGAAGCGCTGCGACAAGGAGTCCAAGTCCAAGGTCTTGGCCAGCGACGCCTGCCCCGTGGCGTGCGACGCCTGCCCGACCTGGGCGGAGGTGATCGCCGAGCTCGAGGCCGCGAACGCCGCGCTCGAGGGCAAGGTGGCCGAGCTCGAGGCCAAGCTCGAGGCCCCGACGCCCGCGCCGACGGTCGACCCCACGGCATCGCCCATGACGGCGCCCACGGCGACCCCCACGGCCGCGCCGATGGCTTTTACGTGCGCTGCGGACGAGTACTTCGACGGCTGCACCGAGTGCCCGAACGGCTACACGTGCGACGGCGTCACCAAGACGTGCGCCGTCAACAAGTACGTCGACAACAACGAGTGCCTCGAGTGCCCGGCTAGCGCGACCTGCGACGGCGTCAACGCCGTGTGCGATGACGTCAACAAGTACGTCGACAACAACGAGTGCCTCGAGTGCCCGGCTAGCGCGACGTGCGACGGCGTCGACGCGACGTACTCTCCGACGGACGAGATCGAGCTCAAGGCCGCGGCCTGGGACTGGATCGACGACGCGACGAGCGCGGAAGCCAAGTACGGGCACATCAGCGAGTGGGACACGTCCAAGGTGACGGACATGCACGAGTTGTTCTACGGCGCCCCCCCCTTCGACGCGGACATCGGCGCCTGGGACGTGTCGTCGGTGACGAGCATGGAGCGGACGTTCGACCGCGCCGCCGTCTTCGACGCGGACATCGGCGACTGGGACGTGTCGAAGGTCACGGACATGACTCAAATGTTCTACTACACCGCCGCCTTTAACGCGCCCATCGGCGGCTGGGACGTGTCGAAGGTGACGACCATGGCTGGCACGTTCTGGGGATACGATAGATTCGCCGCCTTCAACGCGGACATCGGCGCCTGGGACGTGTCGAAGGTGACGGACATGAACTACGCGTTCTACTGGGCCGACGCCTTCAACGCGGACATCGGCGCCTGGGACGTGTCGAAGGTGACGACCATGAGCAACATGTTCTACGACGCCGTTGCCTTCAATTATCCCATCGGCGCCTGGGACGTGTCGTCGGTGACGAACATGAAGGGGACGTTCGCCCAAGCCTTCGCCTTCGACCAGAACATCAGCGCCTGGGACGTGTCGAAGGTGACGACCATGACCAATGCGTTCTACCTCTCGAATCTTCAGGATTGCCCGTCCTGGGCAGATGAGGTGAACCATAGCACTGGCGTTATAGGCTAGGTTAAGGAGGAGGAGGATACGGGGGATTGGTATCCTAGGGGATGACGCTGGGGGAATTGTGTGGCGCCGCGCTCTTGTTGTAGCGCTGCGTGTGCAGGCTCTGCGTGATGTGCAGGTATGTGTAGGTAGCAGGTTAGCTTCACAGGT